TTTTGATCCCAGTCAGCAACAAAAACTTAATCCTAGTTTGCAAAGTCCTCCTGTAATAGGAACAGTAGGGAGCGCAGGTTTTTGCAGTGGGTGAGACGATGGAGGAGGCTGGTACAGAAAATCACCTGCTCTGTGACTCTTACAGTCAATGGTGTTCATTGGGAAAATAGTACTTCTGAAAAAAATGTACAAAATAAAACATTCTGCTGGTTTAGCACCTGATCGTTACTTTCACAGAGACACGTTTCTCTCTTGCCAATCACTCTCCCGTGTGTTTGTGAGAGAATAATGCCTTTTCCATCCGTCTGACAGGTTTTCCGTAAAGTGGCGTTCTCTATAGTCAGCGGTGAACAAGCCGCAGTGACAGTTACTCCTGACAACCTGCAGGATTATGTGGGTAAACCTATTTTCACAGTGGATCGAATGTATGATGTCACACCACCAGGAGTTGTTATGGGGCTGGCATGGACTGCAATGGGTGAGACACACACACACACACACACACACACACAACACTCAATCATTTCTCAAACTGCTTATATGATATCAATGTGTGAGCTAGTTTGCCAAAAATTCCTGTATGTCCACGTCTCATGTGGGCAGAAAGAAAATCTGTTTGTCTTACACCTTTCATCCCTATATGACTTAAGATTCGCAGCACTACTGTTTCTCTCTATCTATACATTTATTACTTCTCCTTTGCTGTGATTATAAGGCACTTTGGCTCAACTCCAGTTGTTTTTAAATGTCCTATATAAAAATAAATGTGACCTTAACACACAAACACACTCAAACCAATAGACAATGATACATACTGAGGATCTGTCTGACCTCTGTCCTCTGTGCAGGGGGATCGACGCTGTTCATTGAGACTTCACTGCGCCGTCCCACTGGACCAGAGGACCCTAAAGGGGAGGGGTCACTGGAGGTTACAGGTCAGTCAAGACAGTCACACACTGAGTCCCACTGCTGGCTGTACCTGTCTGATGTCATTACCAGATGTTGACGCTGCATTTTAAAGGTGTGGGTGCTTCTCTGCAGGTCAACTGGGAGATGTTATGAAAGAAAGTGCAAAGATTGCCTCAACCTTTGCCAGAGCCTTTCTGATGACCCAGGAACCAGAAAACCACTTTCTGGTCAACTCCCACCTGCACCTGCATGTCCCTGAGGTAACTATTGTGATACTATACTGCACATAAATGGTTGCTGCTTTGTAATACTCTGTACTAGCTACTAAATACATTTTTGTTTGTTAGATATTTTCCTATCAGAAGTGCCTAAAGGATCAAACACATACTGTTTGATGGCTGCCAGCAGTGCTCATTCTTGTCCTACGTGTTGGTCAATAGAGCTCAACAGTGCGGTTTTTGAAAGCAAAGATCCAATTCATTTTCTGAATAGAGATTTTCATTATCAGCCATTACGTCGTAACCATCCAAAGTAGAATTACCACGAGATGTGAAACAGTGTTATATGCTCCTGTAGACAACCACAAGTCTGTTTAATTCGCGACATCAAGGAGAAGTTAAGCATTACCCACAGCTATCTTAACACTAGGTCTCTACATATCTGTGAAACGTTACATGCATACATACAAGACTACAATGTATTGCAACACTATATTAACTGTTGTGGAAAATCTGCTGATCAATGGTCAACTCATCAATGAAGAAAGCGTTCAGGAGCCCTTTGACGTCTTATGCTGAAATATTATTGAAGCTTGGCCAAGGAGAAATCAGAATTCATCCACACATCTGCTTTCCTGCCCAACAGAACCCCAACAGATCATTTAATCTATGGGTGTGCTTGTTCCTAAACAATCTAATGTATTTTCTAGTTGTGGAGACAGTATTGCCTGCTTACGCAGTCTCATATCTGTGATGTCTAGGGAGTGAAGGCTTTGACCTTCACCAAGCTCTCGCACTTCCCAAACACAACAGCCTGTTGCACT